TTTCACGCTGCAACAGAACGCAGGGAACGCATGAGAAAAAGTGTCATTAAAACATACTACTCAGAGTATGGATCCAATTTAAAATTACTACAACACTGAATCTAAAATAAAGAGAAAGACTTAAAATGTTTATTTATACTGAGAAATCAATTAAACGTGTACCAATGTACATATGCCAAAAACAAAAATCTAAATATTATATAAGCACTTATGTGCATCTAAACCCATTGAAAGTCGTAGTATTAATGGGTACACAAGTCAAGTAGTCATCTCAGTTCATATCTTCAAGGTAGCGAGAGACAAGATGTTTGTGGAGGTATTCTGGATTCAGCTTCTCCCCTGTCGCCCTCTCTACAAGTTCATCGGTCGTGTAGAGGCTGCCATGGTCCCAAATCTTTTCTTTTTGCTTCGCCAAGATGCACTCCAGGTCGCCTGTCTGAAGGCATTTAAACAGTTTCTCCTCGCCGAGTTCCGTACGGATCGTTGCCATGAGCTGCGCCGCGAGCAACACCCCAATCAGGTACGTCGGGAAGTACCCAATGGAGCCTTTCGACCAGTGAACGTCCTGGAGGCAGCCCAGGTCGTCTCGGCCGGTCGTCTCGATCCCCAAATATTCCTTCATCTTTGCATTCCACACACTGGGCACCTCCTCGGGCTGCAGTGTCCCATCCACAAGATCACGTTCGATCTCATAGCGCAGGATGACGTGCAACGGGTAACAGACCTCATTCGAGCCAGGACGGATAAAGTTCGGCTTCACCTTACGAACGGCACAAATGAGGTTCTCCAGGTTAAAGGCCGGCTGAGGGCCGAGGTGGGCCTCGAGTTTGGACTGAAGGAACTCAAAAAAGGGCTTTGCGCGTGCAAGCTGGAACTCGGCGAAGAGAGACTGGTTTTCGTGCACACCAAAAGAGCGGGCTGTGCAGACGGGTTGCGTAATCAGTTGACGCGGCCCCATGTTCTGCTCGTATTTGCCGTGTCCCACCTCGTGAATGACAGCGTAGATGCACTTCAAAGGATCATCCTCGGAGTAAAACGTCGTAATGCGGCAGTCCTCTTTAGTCATGCCAGCGAAGGGGTGCGGACTACTATCCAGTCGCCCCGAATCAAAGTCGAACTTCCAGGTACGCATCAAATCCTTGCC